GACGAGGGGCGTTGGGGGCGGAATAGAAACGAATGGTGCCAGCAAACAGGTGCTCAGGAGAGACGCGGCACAGCTATTTCCCTTCCCACACCCACTCCTTGAAGGCAGGGGCGCGGACGGCAGATGACACGCCCCCGACAGACTCATGGTGGAGTCAGCCCCCAGCCCTGCCTTCAGGGAAGCCGAGGGACACGGGGACGCGGGCACGGAGAGGCCTGGATGACTCAGGGTGATGCTGCTGTGACGCAGGCAGGGGAAACGAAGGGCCAGCAGAGGGGCCTTTTGCATGGGGCCTTGAAATATGAGTAGAAGTTCAATAGCTAAAAGGAGAGAGGGCAAAATTAAAAAAAAAAAAAAAATTTAAATAACAAGGGGGAGGGCATTGGTAGTGGAAGAAACAGCATATGCAAAGGCTCAGACGCTTGGGAGAACGCTGACGTTTTCTGAAGGGAGAGCCCGGGTTTTTGGAGAGGGAGGGTGCAGGGCTCCTCAAGTTCACCTTCTAGGGACGCCTCTCTTCCTCTCTCCTGCGAGGGGGTGCCTGGCGCGCCTGAGGACCGCGGCCTGGCCTGTGCCGGGAGCTGCCCGTAGCAGGCGGGCCTCGCAGCCCAGGGACCACAAGGCAGCCAGGTAATTGGTGAGCTTCCCTGCAGCCTCCCGGGAGTCCATGGTCCAGGGGTGTGGTCCGCACGGCAGGCCTCCCTCAGCCCAGGGCAAAGGAGTCCTGGCATGAGCTGGGGAATAAAACGACCGTGCACGGGCATCCTAGATAACCAGCCACCTCTCCGAGTCAGGTGTGGGCAAGACAGCAAACAGAGACGGGATCCCCCATCGGCAGGAAGGCCCTCAGAGCCTATGGTTGCCAGCACCCCTTGCGGCCCCCGGGGTCCCCGGCCCAGCTCACACAGCTGGGAAACAGAACTCACCCCTCCCCAGGGTAACCTGCTCTGTTCCCAGCCAGAGGGACCCTCCCACCAGCTGGCACTTTACAGATAAGGAAATTGAGGCTCAGGGCTGACCAGGGCCTCCCCTAAGGTGCACTGGCATAAGCAGCGAAGCGGGACAGCCCCAATCTTCGACCTGAATGCCCAAAGTCCGAGTGTTGGCCCCATGCTGCAATGAGATCTAGGTCCCAGTTCTGCCCTGGGACATGACCGTATCTGCCAGCTATCTATGCCCCAGGAAAAGGCTCAGATAAGTCACCCACGTCTACTCCAGGACTCAGCATGTCCCAAGAAACCAGCCTAATGACTTCATGGTACAGAGAAGGAAACTGAGGCCTAATGGGGGATGAGTCAAAGGACACATTGGAGACACTCCCAATTCTGGGCCCTGACCAAGTGGCCCCAAGGCCCTGAGGTCGGCCTAGACCATAGAAACTCGGAATCAGGTGGGCAGCTTGCCTTGCCTGGAACACATGGGATAGCTCCCCTCCCCGACGGCCCAGGTCCCAGCAAGGAAGGACAACACGTATGGTCTGTCAGGTGGTGCCCTGGATGGGATCTTGGGGCAGGAAAGGGGCATTAGGGACAAACAAAGGGAACCTGAATACAGTATGGACTTTGGTTAAAAATAGTGTGTCGAGCCCTGGCCAGGTAGCTCAGTTGGTTAGAGCATCATCCCCATATGACAGGTTTGTGGGTTCAATCCTGGGTCAGGGCACATACAGGAATCAATCATGGCCCGGCTGGCGGGGCTCAGCGGCTGAGCGTCGACCTAGGATCCAGGAGCTCGAGGTTCGAGTCCTGGTCAGGGCATGTGCCCGGGTTGCGGGCTCGATCCCCATTGCCGGGCATGCAGGAGGCAGCCGATCAGTGACGCTCCCATCACTGATGTTTCTCTCTCTCCCTCTCCCTTCCTCTCTCTGAAAAGCAATGATAAAAATATCCTCCCATGAGGATTAAAAAAAAAAAATCAACCAATGAATGTATAAGTGGAACAACAAATTGATGTTTCTCTCTCCTTCCCTTCCCCTCTCTCTCTCAAATCAATCAATAAATTAAAAAATATATATATTTTTATTGATTTCAGAGAGAGGAAGGAAGAGAGAGAGAGACAGAAACATCAATGATGAGAGTCATTGATCAGCTGCCTCCTGCACATCCCCGACTGAGGACTGAGCCCACAACCCGGGCATGTGCCCTGACCGGGAATCGAACCCCGATTGCCTGGATCCTAGGCGGTGGATGCTCAACCGCTGAGCCACGCCCGGCCGGGCTCAATAAATAAAATTTTAAAAAATAAAATAAATAATAGTGTGTCGGTATTAGTTTACCAATTGTAACAAATGCACCATTCTGTTATAGGATACTAAAATAAAGAAAATTGGGTGTCGGGAGCACCTACACCCAGAGGTCTTGACTGTAGTGTTTGCTGCCCAGTAGGAAGTCCCCTCTCTGCCCCAGATTTGCAGAAAACAGGCAGGAAGTACTCCCATCGGGTCCAGCCCCTCCCAGCCCCGCCTGAAGCCAGCAGAGTGTGACAGCCTGCGACCCAGAGTCAGCCCCTCAGGGGGAGGTCAGTGAAGGAGGGAAGAGCTTGCCAGCCGGGGACACAGAGCTATCGGAGGCGCAGAGCCGGGCTGAGGGTGGAGAGTGACCTCTCCCGAGAAACCAAAGGCTGCTTCATCCTTAAAGTGAGGAAATAAGTAAACAAAGCAGAGACAGACAAGAGCGTTGTCCTGTCCACAGAAAGGTCAGCGGTTCGATTCCCGGCCAGGGAACAGGCCCGGTTTGCGGGTTTGATCCAGGGTCGGGGTGCATGGGCACCGACGAATGTTTCTCCCTCTCTTCCTCTCCCTTCTTCTCTCTCTAAAAATCAATTAAAACTTTTAAAATATATATATATTTTTTTTAATTAATAAAAATTTTAAAAAAAAGAAGAAAAAGAACATCTATTGCAATGAAAGGAAAGAGACAAGGGCCCTAGGGCTCAGTCAGTTGGAGAGTCATCCTGCGCACCGGCAGGTCGTCCTTCAAGCCCTGGTTGGGGCACGTGCAGGAGGCAACCAAGCGACCTGTCTCTCTCACATCAATGTTTCTCTCTCTCTCTCTCTCTCCCCCCCTCTCCCTTCCACTCTCTCAAAAAATCAATGGAAAAAATATCCTCAGGTAAGGATTAACAGCAACAACAAAGCCAATTAACAAAATAAAGAGACGAGGGAGACAGAATCCATGTAATGAGATTTCTGGGACAGAGAATGGAGGAGGCGCCTTTTGTCCTTGCACTACCTTGTTTTCTTTATGGAAGGCATCTCTCACAGAAACTATAATTATAACTTAATTATATATAACTGTGGTTATCCTTACCTGAAATAAATTTTTATAGCGTGTATTTATTTACTTGTTTGTGGCCTGTTCCCTCTTCTAGGGTGTCTGTGCTCTTGGAGTCATGCCTGGTATCCATAATGCCCAGAACAGGCTCTGGCAAAGGAGATGCCTTAATAACAATTAGCTCAATGAAAGAAGAAATACATCTTGTCAAACAAGTAATAAATGAGGGTTCCCCAGAGCAGAAGAAAGACAGGAGTCTGTAGACTGAGAAGCCTCGAGGGTCTCACAGGACTCACACTTGGTTCAAGCACTTTGGAGCCTGAAGCAGGGTGTCCTAACACTCCACGGATGTCCACCTGGGACCCAGGCATTTCCTCCTGGGCACAGAGCCCAAAGGAATGAAATTATGTACCCACTGCGGGGCCAGTGTGGCTCATTAGTTGAGCATAGTCCTTTGCACCAAGAGGTCACTGGTTCGATTCCCGGTCAGAGCACATACCCAGGTTTGGGGCTTAATCCCCAGTAGGGGGCGTGCAGGAGGCAGCCGATCCATGTTTCTCTCCCATTGATGTTTCTCTCTCTCTCTCCCTCTCCTTTCCTCTCTCCCTAAAAAATCAATAAAAAATATTTTTAAAAAAGAAAAAGAAAACATGCACCCACCAAAAGACATGCACAGGACTATTTGGAGCAGCTTTATTGGTAAGAGCCCAGCCACGGAGACAGCCCGACCTTCCACCAGGGAAGAGTGGACAGGCGCCTCGCGGTGATGGGCACGACACAGCGGTGTGTGGCCACAGAACAAAAGCTGGTGCCCACACCACGTAGTGTGTCATCTGTGCCTCTTTATTTTCTGTGACTCTGATGCTATGACATCTTGGCGCGTTGCTGACCCTGAAGAGACTGCCCCTCCCAGGGCTAGCCAGTCCCAGGGAGTAAATGCCTAGCCTGGGAGGGTGCCCTTCATGTGCACACTGACCAGTCCAGGACCCACGCTCAGAGCCAGCATCCCCTGCCCTAATCCCCAGGCCCTGGCACCGCACACTGGACAGACAACTGCAATAAACCTGTTCAAACAGGCCCACGCTAAGCTTGCCTACCCTGCCCCCCTTTCCTTCTGAAACCGTGAGAAAGGCTCCCGCCCATGCTGTCCCCTCACTCCCTCTGCTCCTGGCTCCCCTGGCTTCCCCGTGTGGCCCCGCGAGGAGCAGCGTGACCCTTCCTCCTGGGAACTGTACCTAACATGCCATCTACTCAATGGCAGTTGTCCCCTGACCTGTTGATTACATGTAATTAAACGAGAATAATACCTACGCCGCAGTGCGCAGGTGGCTGGGCCTCAGGCGGGAATGAAAGGCCACTAGGCCGCTCTTGGCCCAGCAGGTGGTTCCGCCAGATGCCCCTGGCGGCCTGGAGGGGCGGCCGCCCCCTGCTGGCCGCGGTTGCTGCCCTGGCCGGGTGTGGCTGCAGATTCCCTTTCAGAAGGGAGGCTCGGCCCTCCTGAGGCCCGGTCTGAGCCTGCACTCTGGGAGCACGTCCGTGGGCACCCCTTCTTCCTGGAGGACTAGCTAAGCTTAGGAAAGGCCCTGAGGGAGGGGTGTGACCTCCCCCCGCCCGCAGCACTGAGTGGTGGGCAAACTGAGGCCGCGTGTGCCGCTCCGCCTGCCCCCTGCGCCCCAGGGAGCCGCGCAGGGTGCTGTCGCCACACAGTGAGTCAGTGAGGGCACCTACCTCTGGGCCATGGCACCCGCAGCTCCTGTGGGAAGGGCCCTGTTGCGTGTGTGTCTCGCTGCGGGTCCTGAGTCTTCCCGCCCGACGCAGTGGGGAGGTGGGATCACACCATGGAGACCTTGGAGGGAGGGAGGCGACCGGGAGTGGGCGCAGAAGGGACCCTCCTAGGCAGAGGCAGGCCGCCGGGCCCCTTCTCCCTGCCCCTTCCTTTCCTGTCAGCCCCAGATAGAAAACAAAAACCACAGCCTCAGGCAGCTAAAAGCTTTAAAACAGGAAGAAAAAAAAAAAAGGGTTGAAAGAGAGGGGGGAAAAAACCCCTAGCTATAGGAAAGAAAGCAAAAGGTTAATAAATAAGTTACAGATTTTATATATTTATAAAATAATATGATAAATAAATTTTACATATCTACATAAAACAAAAGTCCATAATTTGAGTGAATTGGAAAGCAAAAGTCTATACACTAATAATTTATAATAATATAAATAATAATTATATGTAACAAATATACAACAGCGTTTATATACTACAATCAGTTATATAACCGACTGTTAAAAGTGCCGACTGGCTTTGGTGCCTCACGACTGAGGTTCTAGATTATTTGCTAAACGTGCCCGTTGACAGACCTATGGAGTAATCAATACTGGATATCAACTGATAGTGATACCGGGGATCCCACTAAATGTAAACCCTGTAGCTCCTATAATCTTAGGGAAGTAAATATAAAATAGAGGGAAGAGACATACCTCATCTAAACTGCAGCTTCGCCTAAATTCCCCACAGTCTTTGCTCCAAAATACCTCATATTGGGCAAAGATGCACTAACAGAATGAATAATAAATTGAAATTAAAGTCTCTGCTGTGGCCGGCTTGGCCCAGTGGTTAGAACATCAGCCCGACGACTGAAGGGTCCGGGTTTGATTCCAGCCAAGGGCACGTACCTCGGTTGCAGGTTCGATCTCCAGCCTGGGTGGGGGCAGGGGCGGGTGGCAACCAGTCACGTCTCTCTCTCTCTCTCTCTTTCTCTCTTCCACTGTCTGAAAAACAGTGGAAAAAATATCCTCAGGTGAGGATTAAAATAATAATAATAATAATAAAGTCTTAGGCATTTACCAATCGGCTTACCTGGACCTCCAGTTAAAATAGTTACTATGGCCCAAGGTAAGTTAAAATGGGGCCTTCAGGGAGCAAAACTTATAAAACCTAATTAACGGCAGGCCCAGGCCTCCGAGGGAGCTCAGCTGCCAAGAGCCCCACAGACCAAAGACCTGGCAGCTTTCCCGTCACCAACGCCCACAACTGAGGCAAAGGTGCGCAGCAACTGGCCGGGTCGGAGGGTCCCCTGCAGGCTCAGCCCCAGGAGCAGGGCCCACACCCCCGAGAGGGGGCCCGCCTGGCCCAGCTTGCTGGCTGCTGGAGGTGACAGAGACAGCTGCACCCTGACACTCCAACCTCTGTCCCCGCAGCCCCCGTGGACTGAGGCACAAAGAGGACCCACAGTGGCTGCTTTTCTTCCTTCCGGATGGAGGAGTCTCTGTTTTGAGCTCCCTGTCTGCTCAGCTTTGCTCCTGGTACACACTGCTCATGGTGGGGACGGACACGCCCACACCCCCACGCCCAACGGAAATCTCGTCCAGGTTCCTACTAACTGCGAGGCTACAAATTCATGGAGATACTGCTGCCCCGGGCACCTGCCTCACAGCAGTCAACCCCTGGAGTCCCGGCGAGAGGACCACCCACTCCCCAGGGCCACCCACTCCCCAGTGCCTTCTACAACCCCCTCCCGCTTTCTACCACGACGACTTGGGTAAAGCCACCTAAGTGAGGCTTAGAAGGGCCCGTGTTCTAGTGGTGTTGCCCCTTTTCATTCTTGTAATAAATAGGGACACTTATGCCTTCCTCTCTGAATGTCTTCTCTGTCACCACCCCAAAGATCCCTTCACACGATGTCGAAGCATCCGAGGGCCAGCTGTACTCATGGGGCCCTTTTACTTTCTGTGATCCCAATGCTGTGACCTCCAGGGACTTTGCTGACTGGAGAGATGGCCCCTCCCAGGACCAGCCAGTTCCCAGGGACAGTAAATGCCTATCTTGGGAGGGAGCCTTTCCCGTGCAAACCAACTGATCCGGAGCCCTGGGCACCACAGTACTAGGGAGTAACAGAGATGGAGGGTTCATATCACCAGATTCCAAGACGTACTACAAGACGGTGTGTTACCGGTGAGGGGCAGACACAGGGCAATGGAACCCAACAGAAACCCAGAAAGAGACCCACACAAATAGTCAACTGACCTTGGACATGAGAGCAAAGTCAAGTCCACGGAGAAAGAGCAGTCTCTCCAGTAGACGGTGCGGGAACTGTTGGGGGCCGGGAAGATGAGATGGGCCCCGGGCGCTAGACCCACGGGTCAGACCAGACCTGGGCACTTAAGTTCTGGCTAGGAAAGAATTCAGAGCCGAGACTCAAACTATAAGAGAACATTTGGGAAATCACAGAGGTAGAGGAAGTAATTCGTAGAAGAAATGGGCTTAGGAAACAAGTTACAGAGGCAAAGGAAGGTAGAGGTGACCCACCTCGGGGATGGAGATGGGGAAGAGGGAGAGCAGGCTGGGCCCTCTTCCTGAGGGTTTTAAGGGTGGAGACTTTCGGGGAGGTCTCAGGGGAAGATCTCCATAGAATATGCAGAAGTTTTCCAGGTGTGTCCTTTCAGGGTTGGGGTCTTCCCTGAAATTGGGGGGGAATGTCGGTCATTAGTCAACGCAGCTGGTGGTGAAGTCAGCTGTTGGGTTGCTTGTCTGGTTTTGCTGCTTTTCTGGGCCTGGAGCTGAAATACAACTGTTATCTCTAGGGAGGAAAGGTCAGGGGGTGACCAGCAATATGCTAGGGGAGGAAAGGTCACCCTGGGAGCAAGGTCCCACCTTACAATTGTCCTCTGCTAGGCACCTGGAACTTTTTTGCCCTGGTGACCTTCTGTACCTGGCCCATGTCCCTGCTGTGCTCACGTCTGCCTAACTGCCCGCCACGGAACCACTGGATGGCCACATGCAAAAGAACCAAGGAACCGAGACGCCAACCTTACTCAGAAATTAATTCAAAATGGGTCATAGACCTGAATGGAAAAACACAAAACAGCAAAACTTCTGGGAGAAAACAAGGGAGAAAAATCTACACGAGTTGGGTTTGGGGATGAGTTTTTAAATACAACACCAATAGTACAATCTGTGAAAGGGAAAAAAACATCGTTTCATCTTATTAAAACTTGAAGCTTCCGTTCCGTGAAAGACACGGTAAAAAGAATGAAAAGACGAGCCACGGACTGATAGAAAATATCTGCACAACACATGTCTGATAAGGGACTTACATCCAAAATACACAAACGGTTCTTAAACGTCAGCGGTAAGAAAACAAATATCCCAGCTAACAAACGAGCAAACGATCTGAACAGGAGAGGCACAGATGGCAAGGAGGATATGAAAAGATGCCCATCAGCTGTCACGAGGGAAATGCAAATGCGAACAAAAACGGGACGTCACTACGCCCGTTAGAGTGGCTGCAGGCCAGAGCTCTGACAACATCAAGTGCCGGTGAGGTTGTGGAGCAACGGGATGCAAAACGGTGCGGTGACTTTGGAGGACACCTGGGCAGTCTCTTCGTCACGAGGTGGGCTCCCAGGTGACTGACTGAAACCACGTACAGAGAAACCTGCAGGAGAACGTCTGCAGCGGCTTCTTTATGATCCCCTAACACGAGGCAGCCGAGAGAGTCCCCGGCAGGTGAACGGATGAAGAAACCGCTCCATCCTAGCAATGGGGTGTTGTTCTGAGATACAAAGACATGAGCTAACAGGTCACGGATGGATCTCACGTGGACGCGGCTGGGGGAGAAGGCAGACGGGACGATCCCTGCACGCAACACTCGGGAAAGGGCGATGCTGTGGAGACTTAAAGGGAGCGGTTGTTGCCGGGGTCCTGGGGTGGGGCTAGGGGCTGAACGGGCGAAGCACAAGGGAACTTTTAAGGAGGTAAAATTACTCTGTCTGAGCCTGTAATAGTGAACATAAGGCCTTGGCACTTGTCAAAGCGCGTGGAACTTTATATCACAAAGAATGGACCTTAGCGGGTACAGAATTTCAAAACCCACGTAGGAGTCAGGGGTCCAGGGTAGAGCGCAGAACGTCACAGGGTCGAACTGCATTAGAAATGTTCGGAACAAGCCCTGGCTGGCTTGGCTGGGTGGTTAGAGCCTCAGCCCGCACACTGAGGGGTCCCAGGTTTGATTCTGCTCAAGAACACGCACCTCAGCTGCAGGCTCGATCCCCGGCCCAGGCAGGAGGCAACCGATCCATGGGTCTTTCACATCAATGCTCCTCTCTCTCTCCCCCTCCCTCCCTTCCACTCTCTCCAAAAAGCAATGGAAAAAAATATCCTGAAGTGAGGATTAAAAAAATTGTTTTAATGTGGCTTAGCGGTTGAGCATCGACCTAGGATCCAGGAGATTGCGGTTCGATTCCCGGCCAGGGCACATGCCCGGGTTGCCGGCTCCATCCCTAGTCGGGGGATGCAGGAGGCAGCCGATGAATGACTCTCATCATGGATGTTTCTCTCTCTCTCTCTCCCTCTCTCTTCCTCTCTCTCTGAAATCAATAAAGATATATATATATATTTTAAATGTATGGAACAATCTCACTGAAGGGCACAAGGGAACAAGGTACTGAGGTAAGTAACTCTGAAAATGAGTGGAGACCAGAAGACTGAAAGCGAAAGGACTGTCCTCTAGTTGGTCAAGCTGACTATCAGGGACAGGAGTTAACAATTCTAGAAGCACCCGAAGTACACTGGAATCAAACAGTTAGGTCAATAAACAGCAGATGGGGAGAGCCAGGTGTCTGGCTGTGGGAGTGAGATCTCAGATAAGCAAGGGTCATAGGTTAGAGTCGGGAACATCAGTAGAAACTCAGGTTTAGCTTAACACAGGTATAAATAGTTATGTGTAGAAACAGTCACAGATGTGTATGCACAGGGGTTAGTGTATATTCATACATCTCCTCGCTTTGTCAGCTGAGAGCGCCTAGAGGCAGGGACACCCCAGTGGCCATCACACCTGGTCTCGGTTCCTAATGCTCCTCTCCGGTCAAAGGAACCAGGGCCCCTCCGAGAAATGACAGTTTCTAGGACGAGGGCAGGGAACATACCTGATGAGCCTGGAGCATCCTGTTGTTGTTTTTAAATATGTTTTTATTGATTTCAGAAAGAGGAAGGGAGAGGGAGACAGAGAGAGAGAGAGAGAGAAACATCAATGATGAGAGAGTCATCGATCGGCTGCCTCCTGCACGCCCCCTGCTGGGGATCGAGCCCGAAACCCGGGCATGTGCCCTGATCGGGAATCGAACCATGGCCTCCTGGATATAGGTCGATGCTCAACCGCTGAGCCATGGCGGCCGGGCGAGCCTGGGGCATCTTGTAATGTCAGAAAGGAAGGACATGCTACACACACACACACACACACACACACTGATGGGGGGGCAAAGGAGGCAGGAACCAACTGAAAGAGCTTCCAACGGCCAAAACTGGGACAGTGTGAGCACCAAATAAACAGAGCAGCGCCGGATTATAGCCCAAAGTGTAAAATAAGTACCCACAAGTCCACACTGGTGCAAATAACTGATCGAGGAAATGACCAAATGGGAGAGAAGAGACAAATGTCCACGCAGAAGTCTACATACCCGATGTAGAAACTGCGCCCTGGGGTGTGGGCTGAAACCTCAGGTGTGGGCTGCACAGGGACAGCCGGCCGTGGAAGTCGGGGGCAGTAAGAAACCCGACAAACTACCTCAGCCGGAGGGCCAAGGTGCACATCAGAGACGGGGCCTGCTGCCAGCACGCACCCTCGACGGAGGGGATGGAAACAGGCCTTCCCTCGGCGCCTTCCTCCCCAAACCCGGGACTCCACTCCGACTGTGAGGAAAACATCAATCAAGTCCCAGCTGAGGAATATTCACAATGCACCTGGCAGCCCGCCCCAAAGGACCATCAGAAACAAGGAGCGTCTGCCCCCGGGGCTCAGCGGCTGAGCATCGACCTAGGATCCGGGAGACTGAGGCTCGGCTCCCGCTCAGGGCACAGGCCGGGGCTGCGGGCTCGATCTCCAGTGGGGGGCGTGCAGGAGGCAGCCGATCAGTGACGACTTTCTCATCATTGATGTTTCTATCTCTGTCTCTCCCTCTCCCTTCCTCTTTCTGAAATCAATAAAGATATATATTTAAAAAAATAAAACTAAATAAAATTTTAAAAAGAAGAGTCTGAGAAACTGTCACAGCTAGGAGGAGCCAAGGAGACTTGGATGGGATCTTGGAATAGAAAAAGGTCATCGTGGAAAACTGAGGAAATCAGTATAAAATACGGATTCTAGTTAGTAATAATGTATCAATATTTGTTCATTAATCGTAACAAATCTACCATAATAACATGAGAAGTTTATCGAAGGGGAAACAGGTATGGCTATCTTTCTAGTAACTGGAAATCCAAAACTGTTCTAAAATTTCAAAGTTTACTTTTTGAAAAAGTATGCAGAAGCATACAACTGTATGTTTCCGTTTCCATGAAGTTCAAGAACAGGCCAAACTAGTCAATGTGCTCGAGGTCAGAATAGAGGTTTCCTCTGGGGATGGAAGGGAGCCTGCTGGGAGCAGGAAGGGGGCAGCCTGCATCTGGACCTGGGTCGTGGTTACACGAGTGTAGACGAATGCAAAAATTCAGGTAAAAATTCAACGAGCTGTATTCTTCAGATGTATGCATTTTACAAATGTTACACTTTCCTGAAAAAGTGGACACAAAAAGAAACACCAACAAAAAAGCCAGACAACACCGTAGAGAAATTTCTAAGCATCCAAACGAAAAGAAAAATCCCAAAATCTTCCAAGAGGAGACAAAATAAATTACCTGCAAAGGAACAAGAGCCAGCCTGGCCAAGACTTCTCCTCAGTCTGCTCTGGCTTCTCTCCCACCACGCCCACCGCAGCCTGCCCCAGCGAGACCTTCCAGCCACACCCCACAATTGCCCCCACCCCTCCCTGTGTCCCCAAATCTCTTATCCCGAATGTCTTCCCCATCTATCTCCAAATCCTTCATGTCAAGCCCAAGTGCCACCTCCTCCCAGAAGCGTCCCTGATCTGTCAGCCTGACCTGAAGGCTCATCTTTCTTCCACCCTCTTCCCTAGACACTGGGCACTGTGTCTGTGGTCTGTGTGTTTCCCACCCTGCCCAAGGGGCAGCACTCCCTCTGGGCACAGACAGATGCAGCTGAGGCCATAGCTCCACCTCTTACCAGCCAGGTGGCCTTGGGCAAGCCACTTCACAAACTCTAAGCCTCAGTTTCCTCATCTGTAAAGTGGGGATAGCTAACCTACTTTCTAAGGCAGTTGTGAGCAGAAGCCTGTGTGGGAAGTACCCCAACACCTCACCTGGCACATGGTAGGCTCTCAACCAACAGCAGTGGTCACTGGGGCAACCAGGCTGCTGAGGTGACAAGTGCTCATGGGACCAGTGAGGGGTCACCCACTGTCCAGGGATGCTCACCAATCGTCCTGGGGCCCTGGGAGCTAGGCCTGTCAGGAGCCAGGCCCTAAGATTCAACTGATGACACCTCTTTGACTAAGTCATTTTCAAAAGTGGCTTAAGGACAAAATAAAA